TTTTTTTTTTTTTTTTTTTTTTTTTTTTTTTTTTTTTTTTTTTTTTTTTTTTTTTTTTTTTTTTTTGTTCAGTTCCAGAATCTGATTGGTTCTCTCTTTCTCGATAAATTGAAGGAGCCCTAAATTCTTCTTGATCTGCTCTGTGATTATTGCGTGGATTGTCCGAATCGAAGCCATTAATGTTCTCGCAAGCTTATGCTCTGTCTCTTGCTTGAGCTGGGTATTATTTCTCTCCTGGACGGAGATTTTACTTCCTTCTCCTTTTTGCGTTTGTTCGTTTCTTGACTGAACTTTGTATGCGGTTCTGAGTTTTGGGGTTATTTATGCTTAATCGGCGTCATTCGCGGTATCGTTGGCCTTCGAACCAACGCAGTCCGTGTAATTTATGCTTGGTGGCGAGGTTAGGAGCTTAGAGCGTAGTTCTTTTGGTGGACGTTGTTGGCGGGGGAGGATAAATGCTTGTTTTTGGAAATATAGGGCTTCAGGTCCTCTTGGTGTTTGTGGTTTTCCCTGTAATCTGTTTGGTAATCCGGCGGAAATGGCGGTTCTCTGTGGCGAGGAAGGAAGAAATTAATCGCTTGTTAGTTTTGTCGTCTGAGGAGGCTTTTAGAGCTGAGCTTGAGGCCACTTCTGGGTACACTTCTTTATCGTTTACTCCTCCTGGACACCAGTGTGCTGTCTGTTACTCTCCAACAACCACACGCTGCGCTAGGTGCAAAGCGGTTCGGTATTGGTATGTTTTTCGTTAGTCCCCGATACTTCGAACTATGAATCTTGATACTAGGGGTTGAATCTCGTTTATTTCTTGTTGCTATCTTCATTGCCTCACTACTTGAGTTTTAGATCGGGTCTATTTTGGAATTAATGTTTGAGAAATCGTTGCTGTCAGATTCGGGTACCATGAATCTTTTGCTGTTCTTCTTGAGCACATAAAGAGCAATATGCCCTGTCATATGTTAGCTTGCCTTACTTATCGTTAGGGAAAATCGAGAATTAGTTTCTCATCCGTTAATGTTAGTTTAATCACAAACTTGTTGGTGAGGCTAGGCTATACAATTGGTGTGCAAATTTTCTGAAGGGATTGGAAATGGTTAGTCCATTGAGACATTGGCTTAACCTTCTCAACCCAAAATGCAATTACTTCTGCAGTTTGATGGAGGGCACTAAACTGTCTAAAAGGAGATACTACTGGGAGTTCTTGAATAATCTATTTGGAATCGATTGAAATTGACTGTAGTGTTTTATTTATTTCTTTTAGGTATTTAAATATTCCAATTTGTACTTTTCACTAAAGAATTTTTTAGGAACTTTCTAAATCTTTTGCTTCTTGGCCTTCTACTACAAAATATTTTTGTAATCGTGGAATGGCTCAAATCTTCACCAATTGGAAGTGTATACCCTTAGGTGTGTGGGGACTTTATCTCCCTATTTGTACTTCTACTTTTGTTTCCTAAAAAAAGTCTGAAGAAATTTATGTCTCCTGTTTGATGGAGGGCACTAAACTGTCTAAAAGCATTCTTCTTGTGGTACCAATACCAAGCAATATCCATATTAGTCATGACTAAGGAACTTATTACATTTCTCAACATTTCCTTGTTAGCAAGTATTGTGTGTTATTGTTGGAAATAGGTTTGGTCTCTTGTCTTTCTGTTCCCCTACGATGTGCTAATTCCTGTATGACTCAGTAATTGCGAACTTCCATGACCCGAATGAAAGTGCAGACCTGAAAGCTCCCAAATCAAAACCATTGCACCAAAATTAGGCTGCATTTTAATTTGAATTTCAACGGCTGTTGGGATGCTTTTTATCATTTTGGCGTTAGTTCTCAGGTTCTTGTAATCAATAGTAAATGAAAAAATAAATAAATTTAATGCCCTGTCTGTGAACCTTTAACTTTCTCTAATTTTTTGGTTATGCTACTTGGGTTTATTCAACTGCTCTTCATTATAGTTATGTTGAGTGTTTTGAACTTTTTTCAGTTCTGGTAAGTGTCAAATCATACACTGGCGACAGGGCCATAAGGAAAATTGTCATCCTCCGAGCATTTTCAACCATGCTGTTGCGTCTAGGACAGATTTCGAGCAGAAAGTGACAGAACAAGATCATTATGAATCATGTACTTCTGATTCATCTACTGCATCATTTTCTGGATTCTCTACTTCAAATATAAGCAGCGAATCATCTGATGATACTTCTACTAGTGATAGTAGTAGTCAAATTGAACCAGAGAAATTCGATGGATGTATGTCTGCTGATGCAACTCCTGATAGACATGAAATTACGAGAGGCATTGACATTCCTGATCCAACCAAGCCATTGTCACCCATGTTTGGTAACTTGGTTGATTCTGTGGATTGTTTTCCCTCATCTTGCAAACTGAATCAGCTTAAGCCCAGTTTTGTAAATAATGACAATCATAAAGATTCTGGTCCAGCAGCTTCTTCTGATTTTTGGGTTAGAACTCTTGATCGTAAGGGATCTACAACCGATTCCCTGGATGATTCCACCTTACCCAAACTCAGTGGAGGTCATTGTAGGAAGTTGTCTAGTCCATCATCATTTTCATTGAACTCTTCAAATGTTTCCCAAGCACACCGCTCTAAGGAAAACAATACATCCAACATCGCTCTTCCTGATGCCTCAGAAGATAAGAAAGATAAGAATTCTGTGGATGGGGAAATTTTATCAAAATATCATTGTATCCCTTCAAATGTCTGCAATTCTGCACCTTCCAATTATCAAGTGCATAAAAAGATGGATAGTTTTAAGCCAGCTTCAAATTTCCATGTACTTAGATCCAGGTCAACTTCAAGTGTTCGTCCATCGAATGGTTCAGGAGTAAAATCACTTGATTCAAATGTCAGTATCTTGCCACCTTTGAGACCTGAACGGTCAAGTAAAGTTGTGGGTGGGCCTATCAATACAGTTTCAAAGGTACAGAATCAAGATGGAAATTTCTTACAAAGAAAATTTGACTCTGAATGTTCTCTACCTTCAAGTGCTGGAGGGACAGGAGTTTCACTTTCACGAATTCAGTCAGCAAGAGTTGACAGCGTGCAGGCAACTTCTGGCATTTCCTCACAAGTCACTTGTACCCTTAACTCAAAAAATTATTTGAGAACGTCTATGTTGAAAGTTGTTGATCAGTTTAGAGGGTCCAAGTTGTCAAAGAACAATTATGCGGGCACTGTTACTGAAATTCCTGGAAGGCTTAACTATAAGGTTTTCTTCTATTTACTTTTTCTCCTCCTTTTCTATGTATGGAATTTATTTCAGCCTTGGAATTAATGATTCTATAAATTTTTAGGGGCTTTTCTCATACGACCACTTTGTCAAGCTTTATAATTGTAACAAGTTGGAATTGCAGCCGGCAGGCCTCATTAATTGTGGGAACAGGTTAGTGGTTTCTGTTTGAATCCTTTGAAATAAGTTGTTGCTGTTTCCGGGAATTATGGACAATGAATCTTCTTGTTCTTGGCTGGTTAACCCTGATGACAACATATATGTTGATTTAATATGGTTTGTCTTGAATTATATTTCCATTTTATTTTTTGTGGAAGATATGATCTCACGTTTCTAAGATTTATGCATCTCATTAACGTAGTAATAGAAACTTTCTAGTTTTATGTTGAATTAGTTCAACTGCTGATACTTTCTGTTTCCTACTTCTAGCGTCTTCCTCTGACACGTCATAATAGTAAATGAAACTTTTATTTGTTTGTTATGTTACCCATAGAAACCTTCAGTTGTTGAGGTGTGGATTTATTGAAATGTGAAACCAGATAAAAACCAAGGCTAGATTTGGTTTTGTGCGCCTTGTATGGTTGGAACTGAATTCAGGTTCATCAACTTATCTATTTTTTTCATGGTCTTTTGCTTGGAAAGATATATGTGGTAGTCTAGTAGCCCTTTTTAGTTGAGTTCTTGCATCCAATATTTATATAATTTTTTCAATCCTGTCTTTGTATACTTCCTCGCAGCTGCTATGCTAATGTTGTACTCCAGTGCCTTGCATTCACTCCACCTTTGACTGCTTATTTTCTCCAAGGACTTCATTCCAAATCATGTATGTTTCATATTGACTCTTTGTCAGCTGTTTCAAACTTCCAAATCTTCTGATTGCTCCATTACATGTGTGTATATATAATTTTTTTTTTTCCAATATCAGGTATAAAGAAGGGGTGGTGTTTTAATTGTGAATTTGAAAGTATAATTTTGAAAGTCAAGGAAGGGAGATCCCCATTATCTCCTATCGGAATAATTTCTCATTTACCTAGTATTGGCCGTCAACTAGGTAATGGGAAAGAAGAGGATGCACATGAATTTCTGAGGTGTGTGATGGGTCTCTCATGCCTTAATTGTCGTGCTATAACTTATAATGATGTTAAGCAATCATATTGACGAGGTGAATGACAGGCATGCTATTGATACAATGCAATCTCTTTGCTGTATGGAATCTGGAGTGAACCCATCTGGCTCTTGGGAAGAAGAAACAACGTTAGTAGGACTTACTTTTGGAGGCTACCTTTTATCGAAGGTAAATTTGAACTTGGAACTTAGAAGTTGGATTTTTTCTTTATAGAGGGAAAAACATATAATGCTGTAATTAATGATATTCCATATTTATTCAGGTAAATTGAAACTTGGAACTTGAGACATTTCTGAATTTTATCCACGAGTAGTTTTACAGAATAAGGTCATCAGAATATGAATTGCACCTTTAACGTTGATATGTCTATTATCAGATAAAGTGCACAAGGTGCCAATCCAGGTCAGAACGACAGGAAAGAATTATGGACCTTACGGTCGAGATAGAAGGGGATATTGGTAGTCTAGACGAGGCTCTTCGAAAATTTACTACCACAGAGATATTGGACGGTGACAACAAGTATTTGTGTGGCAGGTTGGTTCTAGCACAGAGATTTGTTTTGTGATGCTCGTAGTTTTTTCTTAGTTTCTGTTGATATTTGACGAGTCGAGCTATCCAACTTTTAGATCACTTCCTTTATGATCATTACCTGAAATTACTCCCTTCCAATATTTTTCAGATGCAAAACTTATGTAAGGGCGAAAAAGAAATTTAAAATACTGGAAGCTCCAAATATTCTAACTGTTGTATTAAAGCGATTTCAGGTACCTCTTTTATTCATTGGCTATTTGCTCTGTATTGCATATATATATATATGCTGATGTTCATCTGTAATGTTTTGCAGTCAGGTAATTTTGGAAAGCTCAATAAGCCTATCAAGTTTCCCGAGATGTTAGATCTGACACCATTTGTACGTGGAACCAGTGATAAATCACCCGTATACAAGCTCTATGGAGTGGTTGTTCACTTGGATGTCATGAATTCTTCATTTTCGGGACACTATGTGTGCTATGTCAAGAATGCCAAAAATAAGTGGTTCAAGATTGATGATAGCACGGTATTCATTTCGACTTCATTTCTCATTTTATTGATCTTTTCAGCTTCATTTTAGCCATTAGTCTATAAGTCTCGATGTTGTTTTCCTTTCATTATCATAACTCAACTCCAACAACGATGGTTATCAGTGAATTTACTAGGATAGCCTTATCTTCTCCTTTCTACATATTTCTGCATTTTAGTTCTTATAGTTGCCATTTTATCTACAATCATTTAACAAGCTAGTAGTTCCTTCTAATAGTCTCTCCATTTAAACATCGACATTATTACTAAGCCTTTTCTTTTCATCGCGTTGTAATTTTTAGGTAACTCCGGTCGACATTGATTCTGTCTTGACAAAAGGGGCCTACATGCTTCTTTACTCGAGGTAACCAATCTCAGGAGCTAGTAAGATTCCAAAGTTGTTGTACTTTTCTTCTCTGTTCTGATCTTGTTAGCTATATTTCAGATGCTTGCCTAGGGCTCCAAGATTATTACGGCACGGAATCGTTGCTCCCGATTCTAAGACCAGAGCAACACATTACCCGGCCGATAAAAGGAACGCAACAGCTAAAACCACAACCACTTCCACAGATCAGTCTTACACCAAGGATACTCCTGCTGAACCTGGGAGCTTTGGTTCCATTCATTTTGGACATCCTCAGATGCGTAGGTATTTTGAAGAGGACTCGTCCAGTGATAATTCATCTCTCATCAGCAGTGCCTCTGATGAAGGTTCCTACAGCACCGAGAGCACTCGTGACTCTACGAGTGCCGATGAGTTGTCAGATTATATATTTGGTGATTCGGGGCGCGTATGGAACACTTGGTAAAAACATTCCAAGTCGACTAACTCCTCATCTTCATCCCTCATGAATTTGAAGCATTCATATCTGGCCGATCGATCTGGACATGTTTGCATCGGCTCCTCCCGCTCGCAGCACAGAGACTGTGAGAATTAGTGGTCTTGCCGATTAGGAAAGACGAAGCATCCCGTTTTTTTGCCATCTGACTCGAGTGTAGGTAAGGTAACTAGTCGTATTAGTAAAAGAGTTCGGAAACTAACACTGACCCATGTAGGTTATAACAATGTAAAGTGTAGTGTATGTAATTAAAAAATCAAGGGAAGAAAGGATATACTGAATTATTCAACTGTCATATAACATTGAGTTCGAAATTGGTAAATAAGAGTTGAACAAAAAAATATTGTACTTTTCTATTTGTGCATTAAAGAGTTGAGGTAGAACATGTGTTTTTTCCACATCCCATTTGAAATCAAAGATTATCCAAAAACCAGATGAGATGATTAATGCCCATCTTGTTTACCAACTTGTCCATACCCATTTTGTTCATATAATTCCAAAGCTCTGATGAGATTTATTGACCTTTTGGAGGCAACTTGGAAGAAAAGGCAATCATAGCTTGTTCCAAATGCCTTCCATACTTGAACTTTCCCCCTTTTCTTTCTTTTTTTTTTTTTTTTTTTTTTTTTTTTTTTTTTTTTTTTTTTTTTTTTTTTTTTTTTTT